TTTTAGAATCAAATTTCTTTTTGATGCTTAGCAAATTTTTTGATGCGTCAGCGGCTGCAGCTGGAGTAACAATCATCAATGATGCTGCGTGATGCCGGCAAGGATCTAGCATAGAGTGCTGGATCACAGCGCGCGGGTGCTGGCTTGGTGGAGCGCCGCGTGGGTCTTCTCGAACTCACCGTGGCCAAGCTGGAAGCTGAGCTCGACTGTCAAGGGTCAAGCTCAAAGTGGGCGAACTTTGTGGGGAAGCTAAGCTGCGACTGCCCAGAATGCCACCTTGTGAACCTTGAACTATGGTGGAGCCGCTCCGACCGTGGCAGTAGTGTTTGGAGTCTTAGACCTTCGCTGGAGCTCAGCAGACAGATGCGACGCCGCTCGAGAAGGCAATGCGTGTGCAACAATTGGCGTTGTTCAGTGTCCACACCTGCGGGACTCCTACGATTCAGCCAAACAGAGGGCACGGCCATTTCATCATACCAAGGACGACCGTACTTGGTTTTTTGAGTCACACTGGTGCTCACGCGGCAGGTCCCACGCTGTGGAAAAGCTGCCAGCTGTGCGTCGTGGTGCCCCGTCGCTGTCGTACTCCGAAGCATGGACCAAGCTGTTGTGCCTGGCGAAGGCCGAAACATTGGAGGCGCGATCGTGGGCCAAGGTCTTCGTATGAATCATCCTCCTCGGCGCCGCGGGCGTACGTCTGGTCTGGAAGGCAGAGACAGACAAGTACACTTGCCACAAGCGCAAAAACGACGATCCCATCACCATCAAGAAGATCACGACCGCCAGTGGATAAAGCAGCCTTTCTCTACCTCTACTTCGTGGTCGCGATGAACTACGAGCCTGGACCTTCAATCAGAAGAGGATAGTTTTTTTGGAAGGTGTCCTGGATGACTCGGTGCCCATTCAGTTTGGGGATGGCATGCCAAACACAATGAGGACGGACAACGTGGAAGAGTCCATGGAGGTTGATCAGGATCTGGGGCGGAAAGGTTCTGAGACAAGGACTTTGGTCCTACGCGAAGAAAGGCAAGCTTGAAGCCTACCTCGACATGCTGTTTGCGCAAAAGGTGGACACGTGCTCCCAGTACAACGTTGTCAACTTATACTGGCATCTTCGTCAAAGCCAGAACATCAAGTGGGAATTTCCGCTCACTCGGTGCCACAGAAACAGCCGCCGCGGGACGAGTCAGTGGGACGAGTACGCGTGGCGAACCTCGAAGCTGTCCAAGACCAACCGCTCCTCAGAGAGCTACTTGTTCATTTGGCCTGGGAAGACTCACGAGATTCTCCATGCGTCATTGATGAAGGCTGATGAGGAAACAATCACCAGCGAAATGGTGGTGCTGGACAGCGTCTGGGTTAGGAAGTGGAAGTGCCGCCCAGACGGCCATCGTCGGATGAACTTTGCGTCCGAGGTTGCTTCGACAACCAGCGGGACACCCAGTCAACCCATTCGACTCGAGGCTGAGTCAGCGAATCTTGGTCTCCCCACTGCAGTGAACGACGACCGCGACGCGGAGAGTTGGGACGCGTCAGGTGCGCTCTTGAAGGGCCTCGGGTTCGAGAAGGTTCGTGAACTCCTGGCGCCTTGAGTCATCTCATCACCGGTGCGCAAGGTCATTATCATTGCGCCGGCCAACATGTGGAGACGTCTGGCTAAGTTTGATGCTTCCTTCAAGATCAACTTCGACCGGACCCTTGCCGTGCATCAAGCCCGTCTATGGGCTGAATGGCGCTCCGCAGCCTTGCCTATACGGCCACTGGGACGAGCAAGGCAGAGCAGGCCGAGCTTGGCCAGAACCGCTGCTTGTGCTTCCTGAAGCCGAGACTTCCGTTCAGGCTGGCGCGCGTGCACGACTCGAGCGTCTCGGGGCACGTGAGGAATTATGTCCAGGAGGATATCATGGTGCTTCTTTGCGAGCACAGACTTGCCAATTTCGACCACTGCGCATATCGTACAGCACCTCTCATGCGGAAACTCTGGCTTCCGTGTCTGGCATGGAGACATCCACGAGCGGTTGCGACCCGCCCCATTGCGCTGCGCGCCAGAGCGCCCGACTATCCAGTCCTTGCTTCTGTGTGCCCGAGCTACCAGTCGACTCCTACACCGACTGTAAACACCTGTGTGATGAATTGACCTCCTGAGACAAGTCGATCCCACAGGACAGATCGCGGAGGTTGTACGTGATGTCTGTTCGAGAGGCGAGGCGAGAGGCAACGCTGGTTGATCTTGACACCAACTGAGAGCATGGTTGCCAATGCCCTGACCAAGTCCGTAAAGCACTGCAACTCATGAGTTTGCTCATCACCGGCGTGGTGTCCTTCTTCAACGAGGCTACTCACAAGGTGCCTCTCCGGCGAGTTCCCAAGATCATGGTGGTCCCCGCAGAGCACCTCAGCATGACCGACAAGGAGTTGATCAAGAACCTTCTCGTGACCTCCTTTTGCTTTGCTTTGAGACGCATTGTGAGTCACAACTAGCGGTCCTGAGAGCAGGCGTGTTGCCCGGTAGCTCATGGCTACAATCCTATGGATTCTCCTAAGATTGCTTGACACGCAGCAGCTGACCTCGCAGCGTACTGCAGAAGCAGGTCAAAAGAACATTCCCCGCAACGAATTGCAAAGCAAGAATGTCCAGGCAAAAAGACGGCTACGAGTGAACCAACCACTCGAAAGTTAGCCTCCCTAAAGAAAAGCAACTGCAGTGCAATTGCAGTCAGAGGGCTACTTTATCACATCCGCACCAACCAACAAAAGTAACAATTAGAACAGACATCATCAACAGTGGAGTTCAAACCCAAAGGGACAGCAACCTCCCCATCATCGGTGATAAAGCATCCATCTAGACAAGGGTTCTCACAGCCGGGCTCAGTGTTCACAGCACACTCACTTGGAAAGAAAACACATCGATAGTGACCTGAGGTGGGAGTCGCTCCGCGATGCAATGCAACGGCCGCCACTTGATACAGGACAGGATGTGTTTCAGTGCCAGGCCCAGAAAACATAGGGATCATAGCCGCCCCTGGAACGATGGGATGAAAATTTTTGGTGAGCCTTCTTCCGGAACACGTGAACCTTTCCAGCTGCACGCAAAGGATACTTGGCGCTGCAGTAAGTGCATGGC